TAACAGATAAAGCAAATAAAATGGCCAATGGAATCAGCTTTTAACATTTAACCACTCTAAGTATTGCGCGAGGATCATCCATCGGCTTGCAAACACCCACATAAGGCTGGTACGCACCGGGAGAAGCAAAACACCGCTTGGAACGCGCCTGGAGGGCCCCACACGCGCTTACACGCGCCTGAGGCATGCTGCAGGTGAAGGCACGCGCCCCCACGCGCTGGCACGCGCCTGGGGCGCGTGGGACGCGCCCCCACGCGCTGGCACGTGCGTGGGGCGCGTGGGACGCGCCTCCACGCTCCTGCACGTGCGTGGAGGCCATACCTCCTTGGCTGGCGCGTGCAATGCACGCGCCAGCATATGTCTCCTCCTGGCGCGTGTTCCTCACGCGCCAGGCTCACCCCACCTGCACCACATCTGATCCCAGCCTTCTCCGACGCCTCTTCTCGCCGCCGGCGATGCTCCGGCCACCGGAAAAACGCCGAAAAATTTCAGAAAAATCAGAAAAATTCCCAGAAAATTAAATTAAGCCTCAAAAAATTCCAGAAAAATTCTAAAAAATTCGGAAAAATTTCAGAAAATTACTGAAGCATAATTTAACCCTTTTGGACCTTCTTGAAGCTTCATAGCATCCTTTGACGAAGATTACATGGCTTTAAAAATATTTACAATTTGAAATACAATGGAAAAAATTAAATTACATCATTGAACTTTCAAACGGCTAAATCAAAGCCTTAATTACATTCATCCAAAGATAAAATTACATTAATTTAACCTATAAGCTTCATCCATGGCCCAACCATACATCATCATTCATTCACAATCATTCATACATCATTATGTATCAATATATATCAATATATTAAATCATACATCAACATACATCAATAAAAATATATATGAATATAATTTTGGATCCATGAATGATGATTTTCATAAAATCATAATCTCTAGTAATGAATCAAACCATGCTCTGATACCACTGTTGGGAAACGTGCTAGTTTTAAAAACTTTTCGAGGGATTTTAATTCATAGATCTTGATTCATTACATAGAGACAAGTTTTATGCAAAAATAAAACATGATGTATCATTCAATTAAAAGATTGAATACTTACATCAAGGTTTGAGTAAACCTTAGATCTCTCCTCTAAAGTGAATGTTCTCACTTATTGTAGATCCCTTTTGCTCGACACCTTTTCCATAGATCTCCATCTCCATCTTCTTGGTAATGGTCTTGCCTTTAGGTATCACTCATAAGCCTCCATGAATGACCTTGGAAAACTAGGCTTGTGGGAGCCTCCATTAGATGAGAACATAAACCCTAATTTTCTAGAGAGAGAAAATAAATTCATTTTTCCTTCTCATTAAAAATCACCCCTAAAATATACATAGACCATGTATATTTATAGGCAACATAAAGGTAAAGAAAAGGAAACAACTAATCCTTCTCAATCTCTAATTTACATGTCTCAAATCTAATATGATTCCAATATCAAGTTGGGGTATGAGTGAGAATCCATTGGGCCTATTATTTTATTGGCTACAATGAATTAATGATTGGCCCGGTCCATGGACCCAATTAAATTAATTCATAAATTAATTTCTACTCCACTAAAAGAAATTAATTGAACTCCAATTAAATAATAAATAACCTCTAAGTCAATGTTGCACTTTGACCCTTCTATGCATAATTAGTTATCGGATAAATAATGCCATCAATCCGACTACTTAATTAATATATTTATGTTGGTACCTTTGATTATTTCTGACTCGATCACAATAAAACATTTATTCGACAAAAATAATAATTTAATAAATAAATATATAATAAATCATTTTGTCTAAAATTATATGAAGGCCTTCGAATTTACTTTGTGATCAATCATAATCAATACAAAATAAATACAAGTAGCAATGATGCAAATATTGAAAATATAACCCTCTAACTATTAATTACATAACTACCCGAAGTGCCGGTCTAAGGATCCCGAAGAATCCGCCGAACAAATCAAAGTAATTATTAATTAATAAAAGAGTCTATACTTTTCTCATGCTTAAGAGTCAAATGCCATGACGGTGATAGGGAGTAATTGCATACGACGGCTCTCGCAATATATCTCAACCTAACGCGGATCTAGTTCAAGTCTTAATTAATTATGAGTCCATCCATAATTACCGACTATGAACAATTTATAATTACTATTTATATATCATGCATTGATTGCCATCACATACATATACATAAATATTTCTTGTAATTACATGGACACTATCAATTTCATAGTGAATCGAAATATAATACATTGAATTCACCAATTGTATAAAACATAAATATTTCAGAAACGTCAGGAACATATGTCAATTAATCCAAACAGGAATTTGCTATGCCAGGGTATATAAATCCCAACACTTTCAACCCTCCATGTCCATGCCAAGAAATATTGGTTTGAAGTATTTTTATTTTTATCTAAATTTTATTTTTAATTGCCTTACATCACATGTTTTGTTAGGTACATCACCATATAAAAACTGTTTGGCTCTCAACTTGATTATAATTTATCCCGTGTATTTGGTTGTCAGTGCTTTCCATGCCTACAAATTTAGTTCTAAATCCATTGATCACACAAGATTATCATTGCTTAGAACCACTAAACGTATTTTTTTTTTTTGCCTAATATATCAAAGCCTAAAAAATTAAGCCTTCCGTCCCAAATTAAGTGTTGCATTTAGAGCAATAGATTTGCACACAGAAGAAAGCTTCAAATCAATCTGTTTTTTTTATTATTCTTCCATAAATTTAATATTCCATGACACCAAACCCATCTAAGTATTCTAGAAGCAATCGATCACCAACTTTTTCTTTTTATTTTAATAGTAAGCCAGAGCTTAAAATTGTCCTATATAAAAAATTCAAGAAAGATAATTTAGCTTGATCCTTGCCTAAATTAATTCACTTTTCTAAGATTACCACTGTAGAATTATGCATCATTGATTTTTTTTTTTTTCTTTTAAAAATAATTTATTTTCTATAATTTTTAAAAGATCATTAAATTATAGAAGTTTTATATGGATCATTGATTTTTTTTTTTTCCTTTAAAAATAATTTCTTTTCTACAAATTTTAAGAGATCATTAAATTACTGAAGTTCTATATTTTTTAGATTTGAAGATGTATTGAATGGTTTATAGCTGTAGACACTGCAACTCTTAGTGTTTTTGTTTCCCTTAATCTTGATTGATATTTTTCTGCAACTCTTAGTGTTTTTGTTTCCCTTAATCTTGATTGATATTTTTATGGTTTTTTGACTATCACATATAATAAATATTAATAATAATAAATAAATAAATAATTCGCCCATCCATTCCCCGTTGGACCATAGTCACATGCTATAATCTCCTAACAACAAGGTAAAGAGGGTCCCAACTTCAGCACCTTTTTTAACGGATACATAAGTGAACTGCAACCGAACGGAACTCTTTTCCTTGCTGTACGTAGGTGAGAATCCATATATGAGGGAATTCAGATAAAGGGTCAACTCTTGGGGCCTTGGGCCATTAACTATGTAATAAGACAATAAGGAGGACGACGGAACACTACAAAATGCACCTATCCGCAGAATGGATTGGGAAGCAAGGGGGAACCACCAGAGGACCTCCTTTTTAGCTTGTTAATCTTCGTAGACGTTTATGAATATGCCGTTCCCCCGATTGGGCCATTTAATGGGTTCGCGCATAAGGTATATTGTCTGAAAATCGAACAAACGCTCTTCCACTTACTGGTTAGTAAAGCTCCGGGCTTGTTGGAATCAAAAGAAGCCCTAGCGGTGTGGCCCGTTTCCCCGGAATGTCGCCCATAAGTGAGTGGCATCGTGGCATAGTCTTCTCGTTGATCTTTGAACCTACACACTTCAACTCGTGAATCACTTTCCGAAAAGAGAGAGAAGCTCGCAAAGGGTTGCAGAGAACCCCCTCCCCGAACTAACTATTTTGCTGTAGCTCGTAGACTTCTTAGCTCTTCGCTTGACTTTTGTTGAGAGCATAGGCCTTGGCTTCGTTGGGAGGCTCGCGTAGTTTGTTACGTCAGCTCCAAAAGGAGAAGTTGCGTTGGAATCGAGAAAGTTCCGCGGAGTTCATAATTGCATAAAAGGAGTCAAAGTAGTGGCTACGGCACGTTGAGGCACTTCTTCGACGGTCCCCGTCCGCCCGGCCAGCCGGCCCGCTCTGAAGAATTAATGTTTAGGCGGGTTGGCTTGGCTGGAAACTACAGAAACCTTCCAAAGGTTGTTATTAGGTCGTAGAGCAGGGCGACGTAAGAAGAGGATGGCTATTACACTGCCAGGCAAGCAATCCCAAGGGTGACTGTTGTGAGGTTCCGTGGCGACAGTTGTGAGTCAAATCTTAGTCTTTGGCTTTCCTTCGAGAAAGGCACATGATTCGGGATCTCATAATCATTTGAATTCCATTTTAGTGATTTGAAGCAATCCTTCTAAAGAAATGTTGTGATCTCAATCGGTCAGCCTAACAAACTTACAGCACACAAGCAAGGCAGATGATAACTCTCCTAGGGGAGAGGAGAGTAGGTAGGTCATCTCAGTCAGCTGGTGGGTTTCTCCCCCTTCCCAATGCATCAAATCAAACCACTGACAACAAGAAGTTGGCACATACGATAGATCTGGTTCTAACTAGCTATAGTTCTATTCTATTTTTTTTAACAAAAAAAACTATAGTTCTATTTTTATTGAGTCAATTGGTACATGGTCATACAAACGCGTTACAATTGCCAGCACCTAAAGAAGGTACTCCTGAACTAACTAAACACATTAACTCCGCGTATACGCAATGCTTTAAACCTATCTTTCAGGAAGGTCTCTCGTGTACCAATACCCCACAATGTATAAAGCTCATTGGTACTCTCTCTACTTCACAACATCAGCTCTTTCACATACCTAGCAATATTTCTGAGGCATCTCTATAAAATTTCCATTTTTCGCTTACTATATATTTCTAAAACCCATCAATGGCAGAGAAGGATCAACAAGTCCATCCCATGCCTCAATCCAACAACACTCCCGCCAAGCAGGATGAAGAGGACGGCGGCACATTGCTATCCAAAGAGCTTCGTCGCAAGAAACGCATGAAATGCTTGGCTTATGTTGTTGCCTTTGCGGTGATCCAAACCAGTATTATATTGCTCTTTGCACTCACGGTCATGAAAATCAAAACTCCCAAGTTTCGCGTTAGGTCTGCTACATTTGAGAGCTTTAATGTTGTGGCAACAACTAGTCCTCCTTCATTTGACATCAAGATGAATGCTGAACTTGGTGTCAAGAATACAAACTTTGGTCACTATAAATTCGACAACAGCACTATTTACTTCTTCTATAAGGGTACAGAGGTTGGGAGTGCCGTTGTTTCGAAGGCACGAGCTAGAGCTCGATCCACCAAGAAGTTCAATGTTCTTGTAGGCCTGTCATCAACCAATTTACCAAGCAATTCAGAATTAGGAAGTGATCTCAGTTCTGGGGTTTGGCAGCTGAGCAGCCGATCGGAATTGAAAGGCAAGGTGGAATTGATGAAGGTGATGAAGAAGAAGAAGTCCACGGAAATGAGTTGCACTTTGACCATAAGTTTGGCGGACAAGGCTATCAGAGATTTAAATTGCAGATGAAACTTGAATACTATGTTCTTGGGTTATTTTGTACTTGGCTTTCTTTTAAAGTACTGTGATCATGTAAATTAATATTGGGTATATACCCAAGGTGTAACCTTTTGAATATTCATTTTATTTATTTATTGTTTTCGGAATTTTATATATGTTGTAAATTGATATTGGAAATGTCACGTGCCTTTAATGATTAATTATCTTAATAGTATTAACTTAAAAGCCTTTTATCCCGACATATTAGAGTAACGTGGTGTTCCGATTCCCGAATGCAAACACGGAGACAACACCATCACAGCTTGCCTTTATTCTTTTAACCTTCTTTGTCAAATACTAATTTGAAGCATTTTCTATATCAATCTATATTTTTAACCGTCTTCCATCACATGCTTTGTTAAGAAAATCACTGTAAAAAAACCATTTGGCTCTCAACTTTATTATAATCTTTCACGTGTATTCAGATGTATGTGTTTTTTAAACCCTCAAAGGCTAGTCTAAATCCATCGCATGTATATTTTTTTGGTTATTGTGAATTTTTTTTTGAAACACTAACCGTCTAAACTTATTGTGGCCAATATAAACGACGGCTAAAATATTTCCACGCGGAAGGAAAACTTCAAATCAATCTTATTTTTATTGTTGACAAGAACTGTAGCCCTTTTCTTCCACCGAAATGCTTAGTTTAGATGGCTCTAATATGACAAATCTCAAAACATGTTACTGTAATTAACCCAACTAAGCATTCCAAGAGAATCATCAATCTTATACCATCACACCAAACCCAACTAAGCATTCCAGAAACAATCATCAATCTTTTCTTTTTATTTGAATAGTCAACATAAGCTTATAATTATTCCCTAAAGAATAAAGTTACTTTTGATCCTTCCTTAAATTCACACACTATTCCAAGATTCCCACTATAGAAATTTTTGAAAAAGAAGATTCCCACCATAGATTTATGCATTATTGATATGTTTTTTCGTAGGTTAATATTAGCACTCCCACTATTGTAGGTTCCACTCTTTTAAAATAAAATTAGAGATAATTACATTTACCTTTCTTGAGGATAGACGTAATTACAAGCAGTACCCCTAACGTTTTAAAAATATCACTTACCTTCCTTCAATGTGATCGCCGGTAAGTTGTGTTAGAAATCTATGTAAATGTACTAATATACCCCTATTATTATATTAATATTAATAATTAATTATTAAATTACTCTTTTACCCTAACAACTTTTTTTATTTGAAATTTTTTATTTTTTATTTTCCATGTTTGGAGCCTTAAATCTGGGGAGCCACCATCGTAACAGCCATAGCCACCGCCTCCGCCATTCCTAACTCCACCACAACCACCACCATAGCTCGGGTCCCGGGCTTTGTAAGCTGTACAACGATTTCTAACGTACAGGTGAACGACGTTAGATCCATCATCGAGCGACCCAGTGTAGAGACTTGCAATCTGGGCCCATATCAAGCAGAGAATCGGCTCTTTGGTGGCGATCGGAGCAGCGGCTTTGACGAATCTGTTTCCGGCAAACTGAAAGAGGAACCCCCTGCAACGGCGAGCTGAGGATGAGCGGCGGTGCTTGGCGGGTTGGTTGTGAGCGGTGGCTGTGATGGCAGCGGGCACAATTGATCGGAATTTCCCAGCTAATGTGGTTCTCGGGAACGGACGGAACCTGGCCGGTGTGTCACTCTATGCCGGAGAGCCTCTAAATGGGAAAATGTATCCTCGAGAAACGGCTTTTATGTGATATTTAGCGCCGAAAAATCGTGACGTCTGTCTGGGGCTATGGCGGCGACGGCGGTGTCAATTTCAGTGAGAATGATCATTAGCTGCAGCAACCCGGGACGGAGGTGGTGAAATCAGAGCCGTCAGAGAGCAGCGATCGAAGTAGTGGTGATTATTGGAGTGCCGGTGAGACAGACTTCATTATAACATTACTATGATAGGCTCCCCTACCTCGTTCAATATCTCCTTTGTTTATGGATCTAATTGTGCTATTGAAATGAGGGTTCTATAATGTTGCATCAAATTCGCTGATTTGAGTTGTGAAACCCACTGATTTGTATTGGATTTTTTTTTTTTTTTCGTTCGTTACAGATGTATATGTGTGCGCGTGTGCTTGATTTGGTGCTTCATTCGCGTGCTCGGACAGCTAGATTGTGAATTGGGTTCAGTTAGTTCACAAATTAAGAGGGACGATTCGCGGCTGCTCGCGGTACCGGCTAGGACAAGAAGACGGTTGTGATGTCCGGCAACGGCGAGACTGAGTTTGGCAGATCCGGCGAAGACTAGATGGATGGGTCGACAGATCTTCAGAAGGTCGCAGAGAGGGAGAGAGAATGTTTTCTGCTCCTTCGGAGTTCATGCGTACTGATTCAATGCATATGGCGGTGAGGTAGCCGATGATTGGCTCAATCAGGGGTTGCGCTCACGCTGGAATTCTAATTTCAAGGAGGAACTCCAACGAAGGATTATTATGTATGCCTCAGTACCTCCGTCAAGCCATCGCTAACGCCATTCAATCAAAGACATCAATGCCAGTGATCGCCATTACCCCCTATCGCCGCCGCCACTCTGCCTTCCTAAGCTCCTTAGTCTCCATGGTCATGTTCTTTGAACCCTTGAGGCTCTGTAATAATAAGTTTTAGAGAGAGAAAATGTATACACAGAATAATCAAATGTGATATTTGAGAGTGTACGAGGGTAGAAATGTCTTTGTAATTATAATAAGGGCAAATATGGTACTTCATGCTCAAAATTTGCTGACATCATCAAAAATCTTTATTGACCAGCATTGACCATCACCGGAAGGGGCTAAGTGTTACGACGGAACAAACCTTGAGGGAGAACGGTGTAATTTTTGAAACGTTGAGGGTATTGTCTGTAATTACGCCTAACCTCAGGGGAGGTAAGTGTAATTATCCCAATAAAATTATCAAAGAACTCCTAATATACACTATTTTGTTTAGTTTTTAAAATTTTCAATTTCGTAATTGCTTTTTTATTTTTTATTTTTATAGTCTCTCTGACCTCTCTTTAAAAAGTAAAAAGTGGATACTGTTAGACCACTGGCCGTGGGTAACAAGGAGACATTCATTGATTTTACTTTTGCCTTTTTTTTTTCTTTGGTTGATTTCTTGACGTTGAAGTTTTTGAGGACTGGAGGCTACTCACGATGAAGCAAGATGGAGACTGAAGTGGACCATCAATTTATCCTTTGAACATCATTGAATCTTTGTTAAGTTCGTTTGAATTCTTCTCCGGCCGGCGGATGCTCCGTTCAAGAAAGTCAGTAATTACTTCTTCCAAAAGTCGTATAATCTCAAACTACACCCTCTGATCCAAACTATAAACTAATTAACAAACAATACCCAAAAGCAAATCTAAACAATCCCACTTTTAACATAACCACACCATCCAATAGAAGACTGAAAAAATTTCTGAAATTTAAGAGCAACAGAGATGTGATGGTGATTTGGTTAGTTTGGAGTAATAAAAACTAAAATATTCTTGGAGAGAAGCTTTGATGATGTAAAGAATGCGAAACACTATTGATGAGAGGAGGGATAGGGCATTTTTTAATCAAGAGGTGAAAAGAGTGAGCATGTGGTAGAGAGAGATGGAAGAGGACGAATTTTAGGTTAACGTAGAGGGTCAAATATGACATTAATTTTGTTTTTGGGTAAATTAAGGACTTTTTAATAATTTTATTCTGCTATTTGCACTCCACTAAAATACTTTAGCGCTCTAACCTCTTGTTGTAATAAATATAATAACCAAACTACCCTCTTAATATTTTAGTTCATAAAAATTCTTTGTTTCTCTTTTTTCTGTATCCAGAGTTTTGTTCTCTCTTTTTCTGATAAAACTCCATCTTATACCTAACTTCAACCACCACCACCACTACCACCGCCTTCCACCACCACTGCCTCCATCGACTTTTGATCACCATCACCCGCCACTTCCACCACTACAATCGCCACCGCCTTTTATCACTGACACCGCCTTTCTTTGCTGCAACCACCGCCACCGCCACCGCCACCACCGCATTTTACCACAACCATTACCTTCCACCACCACCACCTTTCACCATCGCCATCGCCACTGCCTTTCACCACCGCTATTGCCTTCCACCACCGCTACCGCCTTCCATCGTCACCACCTTCCATCACCATAACTACCACCACTACCACTGGCTTCCACCCCCGCTATCTCCATCGCCACCGCCTTCCATCGTTGCCACGGCCTTCCACAGCTAGGGACGGAGCCATAATTTTTTTTCAGGGGGGCACATTGTACACTAAATACATATAAAATAATATTTATGGAGTATATATACATAAAAAGAAATAGGTGGATATGTATAGATAGAAATTGATATTTTTGGAATGAGGTAAATTAATAAATTACATATATAGAATATAATGAAACAATTTAAGAAAAAAAAAAATAAGGAAACATATAGAATATACAAGGGGAGGAGAAATTTGAGGGGGGTCACTTTTACACATTTTCAAAAAATATATACCTATTATAGGAAAATATATATCTATCTACTAAGGAAAGGAAAAAATCCAGGAGGGGCACGTGCCCCCTCTGGTCCTATACTAGCTCCGTCCCTGTCCACCGCCATTACCTTCCACCACCGCTACTGCCTTCCACTGCCACCGCCACTGCCTTCCACCACCCCACCACCACCGCCACCGCCACCGCCACCGCCACCGCCACCGCCACCGCCTTCCACCACTGTCATCGCCTTCCACCACTGTCATCACCTTCCACCACCCCCTCCACCACGACCTTCCATCTTTACCACCATCCTTCCAACATCATCATTGCCACCTCCACTGCCCTCTACCACCATCACGGTCACCTTCATTGGCTTCTATCACCGCCACCTACATCACTATCTCTTTCCACCACCACCACCACACTACTACCACCACCTTCCACCTCATTGTCGCTGCCTCCGCCTTCCACCATTGCCACCACCGTCACAGTCCAACACCACTACCTCCACCACTACCGTTTTCCACCTCTACCACCATCGTTACCACCACCCACCACCGCCACTGTCACCATTTATTTTTAAAA